AGCAGCTGCGTGTGTTTGTCACTCTCGGCCGTCGACTGTGACCAGCCACTTCAAGCTCCATCTGCCTTGACTTCCCGCCATGAGGGACCGTGCTTTGAACTATGAGCTGAATGAACCCTGCCTCCCTTACATCGCCTTTGTCAGGGTCTTCTATGCTGGTGGAATATTCCTTTACCCTGTGTGAAGATGTGTTACTGTGGTTGGCTTAATAAAGAGCTAGGCAGGAAGTGGCTAAGCGGGACTTTCTGGAGAGGTCTCTGGGAAGAGGAAAGGCAGAGTCACCAACCAGACACAGAGGAAACAGGATGGGCAGTACAGAGTTAAGGGAATGGGTTAATCTGAGTTATAAGAACTAGTTAGGAACAAGCCTAAGGTAAGGCCGAACCTTCATAATAACAAGTCTCTGGGTTGTTATTTGTAAGCCCAACTACACTGGACTGTCACCCCATATATCTTAGAAACTTGTCACTCTGTATGGCCTCAGGGACCAGTCACCTCTATATGAGACAAGTCACCCCCAAGTATGCCCAGGGAGCAGTTATTCCTGTGAGTGCCTGGGGACCAGATACCTCCATATGTCCCAGAAATCAGTCACCCCATGTTCCAGGAACCAGTCTCTCCTTGTGTACACAGGATGGCCTTCCCCTGCATCCCAAGGGTTGGTCTCTGGTGGTTGGAGCTACGGATTCCCTCATCTCTGTTTCAATATCTGCCCACGCTACGCGTTGTACAACTGTCCTGTCCTGCGAACCATGAGTGCCGAAAGTGGGACACACTGTCTGAAGCCACTGCGCTGACTTCATCTGGGAGAGTCTTTTACTGCATGAACTGTCTTCTTAAGATGCTTCCAGCACATCATCCCGCTTATTACTTATGCACGTTTGCTTTGTCTATAAGCTTTGCGGGGCATTGAATGTCTTCTGGAATGGAATGGATAGTGGGAATGAATCCATGGGAATGAGGGAATGAATAACCGAGTGAATGAATAAGTAAAGATAAACATACACATAGATGAGCAGCAAATGAATAAGTGAATGGATTAATATGAAGGAATGAATGAATAGGGATGAGTGTGTGAATGAATTAATGAGTGAACGAATGACTGAGTAGAATGAATCAGTGAATACAAGCAGTGACGAGTAAATACAAATGGATGAGTGAATGAGTGAATGAATGTCTACAAGTGAGTGAATGAATGAATGAATGAGTGAATGAAGAGTGAATATGGATGACCGAATGAATGAACTGTGCTGAAAAGACTGGGGACAGCATGTTTGGCCCTTGGACCTCTCACAGGATTCTCACAAGCGTAGGCTTTTCTTCTGTGAGATGCCTGGAAGTCCTGCACATTCTGTGGCCGGGGTGCCGTGCCTCATAGTGCAGGGGCAGCAAGTTTGCTCCTTATGCTTCTTCTGAGAATGCATGCAAGAGTCCCATATGTCCTAGGCATGGTGCTGGGCTAGACCATGAAATACGAAATAAACGTGGGCCCCTTGTAGCTGTGAACATGCCAAGTTCCCTGTAGAGGGATGGGCTGCACACCTAGCTATGAGCACGCCAGGTTCTTGGTAGAGGGAGCAACTCTACAGTCCAAATTTTCAGAAGGAACAAAAATCAGTGCTACTGATAGGATGCACGCATCAGCGCTCCCTGAGTCCTGCTCATCTTATCCGATTATAAATAACTTTTTGGGCCAACGGCCAAGGGGAAGCAGCCTTGGGAGTGAAGCCAACTCCACAGGAGGAGCCTGCTTCATGAGGCGCTTCTGCTCCCATGCGCTGGGCCGTCGTTTCCACACACGGATTTAATAATGAAAAGCGTGAGCTTCGGTGATGTGGAGGTAGCTGAGTGGGGGAAGGGATGCCTGGGTCGTGGAGGACCGGTTGGGGTGTGAGCGGGTCGTGCTGTAAATGGGTGGCATGAACGGAGACGCAGTGAGAAGAGGGTGGGGCATACACAGGCTGAGGTGTGAACAGGACTAGGGTGTGAACAGGGGCGGGGTGTGGATGAGGGCGGGGTGTGGATGGGGGCGGGGTGTGAACAGGGGCGGGGTGTGGATGAGGGCGGGGTGTGGATGGGGGCGGGGTGTGAACAGGGGCGGGGTGTGGATGGGGGCGGGGTGTGAATGAGGGCGGGGTGTGGATGGGGTGGGGTGTGGATGAGGGCAGGGTGTGGATGGGGCAGGGTGTGACTGAGGGCGGGGTGTGACTGAGGGCGGGGTGTGGATGGGGCGGGGTGTGGATGGGGGCGGGGTGTGAATGGGGGCGGGGTGTGGATGGAAATGAGGTGAGAGCAGGGATGAGTGTGAGTAGTGGTGAGGTATAACCAGGTACATAGACGGGGTAGGGTGTGAATGGGGGTGTGTGAATGAATGGGGGCCTGGTGCGAACAGAATTATGGGAAGGTATGGTGTATGAACATGGAGGGGGTGAACAGGGCAAGGTGTGAATAGAGGCTGTGGTGTGACCGGGGGTGAGTGAACAGGACCAGCAAGACGGCTCAACAGGTAAAGGCTCTTTGGGCTCTGGGTATTCAATTCAGGCCAGATTGAACACCCAGAGCCCACATAAAAGACCAGAGACTAACGCCACACAGTTGGCCCCGGGGTTCTACACCTTGGCATGTATACCCACACACATTCATCACGCATACACACATACACACAGTAATAATGAAATAGCATGTTTTTAAGATGAGAGATTTTTCTCACAGGGACCAAGTCCTCCCAGAAAAGAACCACCTCCACTTTCTATCTGCCGTTTGCTTCCTGAGTCCCTGTGTGAAGCCCGTGCTCGGTGGTGGGGCCTCCACCACAGGGAGATGTTGGCACACTTCCCTGGTTCCCACATGGCCTCACCAGCTCCGGAGCTATTGGTCTGTTCAGAGGAGAGTTGGAACCTACATCACACAGAAGGAAGAAGGGAGGATGAGCGACTTGACATTAACTGCTCCTGCCTCCTCTGGCCTCCACTGCTCTCCTCTCATCACTAAGGTAACCACATCTCTGTGTATGGTAACACATCTCTGTGTAGGGCAACCACATCTCTGTGTATGGGGGTAAATACAGAACCCTGTGTGTCACTGGGGATTGGTTCTAGGGTTCTTCTACCAAGATCCCCAAAGCTAGACTCTCACGTAGGTAGTGTGTCTGCATATAGCCCAGTCCACCAAAGCTACCAGCAGCTCTACTGCCTCAGACCCCAGTGTGGGATAAGCCTTCCCTGAACAGTCCAAGATCATCCGGGAATGGAGGCAAGGGCTGAACTGTCCTACATGGCCCTACTTATTCTGTATACTTCATGTCCTTACTGCAGATTTGCAGAACCCTCAGCTGTGGGCAGCTGACAGGAACTAAAACCCCAAGGGTTCAAGTGACATTTCTTACCGATTTGTACCTTTGTTGTGTACCTTCAGCCAAGAAGCTCACTTCAAGGCTGAAGAGATGAGGCAGGAACCTGCTGGTTGATAGGCTGGCTTGTGCTCAGATAGCTTTTTAATACAGACCAGGACTGTCTGGCTATGGAATAGCACTGCCCACAATGGACGTGTTCCTCTTACATCAATTAACAGGCAAGACAATCAGTCGCCTACATGCCCACAGGCCAGTCAGTCTGGAACATGAACCGAGATTCTTTTCCCAGAAAATTCTAGGTTGTGTCAGGTTGACAGCTGATGCTAACTGCAACAGAAGCCAAGCACTGGATTCACCTCCACACCTCACTGCTGCCATTCTGGTGAAGCGGTGCTAGGCTTTGTACCTAAGTCAGCTTGTGTGCACCTGTGTATGCGCCATGTGTGGACACGTGTGAGTTCTTCTGCTCACCTGTGTCTGTAAAGCAGGCAGCAAACTGCCTGCTGATCAGTCTCAACCTCCATCTGAGGGATGGTGGCCAACATTTTCCCAGCAGAATAGAGAGTAAAACCACCTGCAGAGAGATGAGTGTAACCTCAGCCATCTGCACAGGTGGGTGTGTTCATGAGGCAGCCCCCCAAATGTTTCTTACTACTGATGGCCACACCAGACGTTTGAAAACCTCCGAGTTAATTTCACCACATTCTGGGCTCTTTTCTTTCCAGTATTCCGTCTCCTTTATATGTTTACAGTTTACTCATTATTATTATTGTTATTATTATTATTGTGTATAAGTACACATACCACTATGCACATATGGAGGTCACACACAGACACAGGCCACAGACACACACACACACACACACACACACACACACAGGCACAAACATACACCCAGGCACACACACATACACACATGCTCAGAGGCCCATCTCCCAGCTTTTGTTCTAGCTTTTGTCAAGTTGACAATTCACACTATATCCCAATGGGAGCTGGTGCCCCCTACGAAGGCTTTTGCACAGATTTTCATGGCAGTCTGTTGGTTGTGTGTGTACACATGTGTGTTGTGTGTTTTTTAATGTGTGTGTGTGTGCACACATGCATGCGAGTGTGTGTGTGTGTGTGTGTGTGTGTAGCTTAATCTCTACATGTAACCCAAACTGGCTTTGAACCAGAAACCCACCTTTCTCTTAAACACCCGTATCACAGGCACCCATCACCATGACAAGCCAGGAAAGCTGAGTACAATCACACCATGAAACACTATGCAGTGGCTTGGAAAAGCAGCTCACACGGTGACAAGTTCCTACTGTTTCCCAGGTCCCTTTTTTCAGTGACATCCATACGCGGTTGTGTGCTTTTCACAAGGAGCTGCATTCAGGTTCTTAATGAGGTTTGTTTATTTAGAGACCTCTCTGCAGTCCAGTCTGACCTCACTCAGTGTCAGTCCTCCAGCTCAGTCTCCGCAGTGCTGGGATCACGGGTGTGCGACCCCTGGGTTTTCAAGTGGTCCACCCGGGAACCACTGCCCACAGCTGAGCATCCAGCCTGCATGTCCAGCCTCCTTGCTACTGTCCTTTCTGCCTTCAGTTAATTCATTTTTTCCCTAAGCATTGACATTATGTAATTAATCCATTCCATGCTTATTCTAGAATTTTTTAATACATATGTGTTTTTTGCAGAGTTGGAGGTTAATCAGTATCTTCACACCCCTCTGAATACACAAAATCTGGAACCCACACCTTTAGGGACCCTCCCTGATTTACACCATCCGTGCATGGCTCCTGGTTTCAAAGAGAGTACGGATCTTGCTGATGGACATGGCTAGAGAATGCACCTTCTGACTGGCCATGCCGTGCACACTGGGGTCATCTTGCTGTCTTGTGGCCCTGGCTGGCCATGGACTACGCCCCGCCCCCAACCAGCAGGGCAGACTCAGTCTGAAGAGCCCACATTCAGTCTTCTTGTAGCCAGCAGGGGTCCTTGGCTTTCCATCTGGCTTTTTTTCTAAGTGGATATTATTTCACTTGAAGGAGAATCAGTAGGAATCAGAGGAGGCTCCTGCGCAATCGAGTGCTGAAAGACTTTTTTTAAACCTGCAAAAAAAGAAGAAAAAAATGGTACCCAGCCCTGAGCATCCTAGTGCCAGAGACCTGCCGCCCTGATTCTCCCACCGTCGGCACTAGGGCTGTGACACTTCTGTCCCTGCTCATAAAACTGGACAGTGCGTTCCAGTAGTAAAGGAGCGAGAAGTCCATCAAAGCCATCATTAGTTGCCAAGGTCTTTTGTTCCCACAATTAGTTTCCATGTGTGTGTTGCAGAGACTGGAATCTCAGAAACTAGAAACGTGAGGTGCAGTGTGCCCCATGAAAATCACACCAGTGAATGAAAGCGGTGCCTAACTACTGCCCCCACTGAGTTTAAGGAGGAAGGGGGAGGGGATGGGGATATTTCTCCCCCTCCTAATTTCCTGCTATTTCCATTTATTCCAGATCTCCTTGCTCCTCATAGCCTGTGCCTCCACAGGAATGAAATGAAGGATTCTCTCCTTCCTTCCTACCCTCTATTTCCCCCTGCCTCTGCCATGTCCTCTCATTAGGAAGAATATACTGGTAGATAATGCAAATGAAGGAAAAATCCTTCCACTCCTCCCTCATTCCCTCCTCCCTCTCTCCCTCCCTCCTCCCTCCCTCCCTCCTCCCTTCTCTGCTCCTTTCATTCCTCCATCTCCCTCCCTCCTCCCTTCCCCCTCTCTTTTTGTTGCTCTTCTGTCTTCCTCATGCTCTCCCTCTTCCCCTCTTTTCTTCCTTCCTCTCAGTTGCCTCTCTCTCCTTCCTTCTCTTCCTCCCCAATCCCAGCCCTGCTTTCTCTGGACCTGTAGTTGCCCTCCCTCCCTCCATTCATTCTTAGGTAACTGTTGTCCCCTCCTCCCCTGCTTTGCTTCCTCTTCTGAGAAAGGAGGAGTGGGATTAATACGAACATTCACCACAGTTCCCATTATTTTGAGGAAGGAGGAGTGGGATTAATGCGAACATTCACCACAGCTCCCATTATTTTGAGGAAGGAGGAGTGGGATTAATACGAACATTCACCACAGCTCCCATTATTTTGAGGAAGGAGGAGTGGGATTAATACGAACATTCACCACAGCTCCCATTATTTTGAGGAAGGAGGAGTGGGATTAATACGAACATTCACCACAGCTCCCATTATTTTGAGGAAGGAGGAGTGGGATTAATACGAACATTCACCACAGCTCCCATTATTTTGAGGAAGGAGGAGTGGGATTAATACGAACATTCACCACAGCTCCCATTATTCTGAGGAAGGAGGAGTGGGATTAATACGAACATTCACCACAGCTCCCATTATTTTGAGGAAGGAGGAGTGGGATTAATACGAACATTCACCACAGCTCCCATTATTTTGAGGAAGGAGGAGTGGGATTAATGCGAACATTCACCACAGCTCCCATTATTCTGAGAAAGGAAAACAAATGGGAATCAAGTAGTCTTTTTTCCTGTCAGGGAGTTGATGAAGGAAATGTCAATAAACCAAACAATTTGCTTCGAGACTGCCTGGCTCACGGTTCTGGAGCACAGAAAAATAGAATGTGCCACTTTGGACTCCAGGTCACAAGTTCCCGAAGAGAACAAGCCCTCATCTGGTCATCTGGTCAACCCGAGCTGCTGCTGGAAATCACAGATGGTTGTTCAACATGTCTGGAGCCAAGACCACAGAGTGGCTGCTTTCAGAGGCCCCAGCCCCACCTCTAATATCACTCAGGCTCCCCTGGGCTACCAAACATGTTCAGTTCCAGTGGCTGAAGGCTTCAGAGTTCACCAACCATGGTTTGTACATGTGTGTGAAAACAGAGATGCAGAGAGGAGAGGAAGGAGGGAGAATGAGAGAGGGGAGAGGGGGAGGAAGAGAGACTGGGAGGGAGAGAGGAGGAGGGGAGAGAGAGGGAGGGAGGGAGGGAGGGGGGAGGGAGGGAGGGAGGGAAAGGGACAGAGAGGGAGGGAGGGAGAGGAAGAGAGAGAGAGAGAGACTTTTAGAAAGTGCATTCAAGAATTTCCTGAGAAAGATATCCAAGCATGTAGTAACCTACTTGAGCCCCGGGCATTAGGAAACCCTTATTGTCCTCCTTGAAGAGCCTGGCAGGAGTCCCTGCAGGGTCCAGCTGAGGGGGTATAAACATGACCTGGCCACAGCTCAGGACTGGAGAGTCTGGATCGGGCTGTGGGCTCACAGAGAAGAAGCTCAGCTTTCAGTGGCAGCAGAACGAGGGACGAGGACTCTCCTGTTTCTCACACTTAACAGTGTCCAGCCTGGGAAGGCCGAGGTTTTGTGTGGCAGCATCCGGAAGGCCCCATCTCTGCTTCCTGTTGTTGTGTCCTCCAACGGCTGATGTCCACCAACACAGGAGACACAGGAGAGAAACTTCAGGACTCAATCACTTCCCCAAAGACCCTGCCTGTTAATACCATCATACCTGCTCTTAGAGACCATGGCACTAGAGAGGGCCAGCTGCTTCTGGTATTTCCAATGGTAAGAGCTGCCTTCAGTGTCTCTCTGACTGGAGGGCTCCTGGCTGGCTAGGAGTGAGGGCTGTGGACAGCCTGGCTGGGACCGGGCTGCTCCTTAGCTGCCTTTGGAGATGACAGGGTACATCCATATCCCTAACCATGGCTGCCCCAGTGAACATCTCCCTAGTAACTAACACTGGTTCAAGGAGCCATGTTAATCTCAGAACCAACCATGTCTTCCTGTATGTGCAGTGAAGGCCATTTCCCCGATTTGTGGTAGGTTCCTGTTGGCTTTCATCTGACCCTCTTCAGGGAAGGTGATCTGGGAGGGAGGGGCATACAGTGATTACTTTTCAGTAACTAGCATATTCAGGCCTTCACTTCCCTAATCCTCAATCTCCCCATCTGTAGAGAGGTACTAGAACGAAATTCCTTTTTAACCTACAAAATCAGGAGTCTGTCTTGATTCCAGGCTAGGAAATCGGCTGTCACGACAAGCAAAATACAAGTGTTTAAAAGCTAAGAGATTTCTCCAGGAAGGGCAGAGGGGGATATGCTAGGTGTTTACAGCTCAGGGGAAGACTGGGTAGGGGATTCCTTCCTGCCACTAAGGACCCTTCCTGTCTTTGTCCTGCCCCAATCTGTGAGCAGCCCTTCATCCCTGTGGACGTGTGGTGCTCGTCTCTGTGGGCACTGGCACAGTGCTCCCAGGCTCCAGCAGTCTAGTCCTTGGCTGCCCGGAGACCTCAGTGCAGAGACCAAAGTGGAGGTGGAATTTTAACTCCCAGACTCGTGTAGGAGATGCCCACAGCAGGGGTCTCTTTGATCTGCATTCTCCCGGCTCCCAAATCTGTGCCCTGGGCACTCACCCCTGAAAATCACCTCCCTAAGCAACCCCGAGGACTTCCTGGTCACAAAAGGAGAGGCAGCTCCAGGAAGGTGCATCGTCCCACGCCCTCCGCCCTCGACTTCAGGACAATGGAGCCGCTGGAAGAGCTGTCAGAGTCGGACCTGGGGACTCCGTGTGGCAGCTAGGGCATTGGTCTGGAATATCGCTCCCCTCCTGCCACTCCTTTTCTGTAACTCCCTTCTGAGGAACCTCCAACACATGTATACATCCTCACAGGAAAACCTGCTGTCACTCTGGTCCAAATGTTGGGGCCTCCAGAAGAAGCTGGAATTGAACTGAGAGGAGTGAGCTGGAGTCTTCTGGGGTGGGAAAGTTTGTGGAGCAGCCCCTCGGAAAGGACTCGGAAGGGTCCTGGATCTGAGAGGATACCACCCACAGAGAACAGGCCCAGACTATGGGCCTCCATATCCCATGCTTGCTGCCAAAGGCAGGCATGAGTGCTGACTCTGTACACAGAACCCAGGCAAACTGAAGAATTAGTCACTGTCCAGGCTCAAAGAAACATTTGCAAAAGGCAATCCAGTTTTCCAGGGGTGGAGCCAGGTTGACCAGAGGATGAACCACTGTACCCCCAGCACAACCTGCTTTTAAAAGCATCCCATTGTCTAAAGGAGACTTAAAGCACACCAGACTCCAGATGCAGGCCTCTGTGTGAGTGCATACACGTGCGTGTGTGTAAACTCCTCTAGAGGTCAGAGAATAGTGCTGAATGTCTTTCTTCAGGAGGTGTCAACCCTTCTTCTCCAGTTAGGCTGGAACTGGGCAAGCCATTCTTCCCCCATCTAGCCCCAGGGATTCTGTTTCTGTCTGCTGAGTGTTGCGCTTACAAGTGTGTGCACTGCCTGGTTTGTTATTAATATGGGTTTTGGGAATCAAACTCAGGTCCTATGGTTGCAAGGCTGTCACTTTTCCTGACTGAGGTATCTCCCTACCCCCCAGGCTGCTTTCTTTGGCTGGTCATACCAGCCAAAGTACCCAGAAGGTAGATCTTCCAACAGCACCCCATGCCTACTGCAAACCCAAGTCTGTATCTATCAATTCCTTTCACACTGCTCTGGGAAGAATTGCCCATTCCAACGCACATGAGCATATGCACAGATATGCACGCACCTGCATAGGCAGACACACACATGAGGGCAAACATACATGCTTACCCACAAGGCAACATGTGTACACAGAGCAACACATGCCCAAGTACAGGTACCTCCACACACAACTACACCCTCACAAGGGCCTCATGTATGTGCACACACATGCACACAAAGCCTCATATAACATAAACATTCCCAGGCTCAAGTACACATACACACATTTACACATCCACAAATCACACACAAGCACACAGGTGTGAAGGCATGCACGTGCAGAGAACACATGCATACAGAAGCTACGTGTACCCACACACATGGTGTACCATGACACCCTCTGATTTATGAATACCCCTTCACAGGGAGAAAAACCGCTTCCCAATTTCCTTTTCAATGCCACCTAAGTGTAGTTAGAAATTCTTCTTTGCAGAAGGTGATGGTCATACTGATTAAAGGGAAATTAGGCTGAATTATGTGGGGAGACATATTGTCCATCATCAGTTAAAACATGTTAAATTAATTCATTTTAATTCATTTACTGGTTTCAGAAAAGACAGATTGGGAGTCACTGGGGAAAACCCTGCTACACGTGAAGATTCCTTTAAAAGACCCATCTAGCTTCTTTCTCTGGTCTGTTCTCACTCCGCGAGCACTGCATATGTGCACACGTAGCTCATGCACGCACACATGCAGAACTGGTCCAATGTCACCAGACAGATCTTTTCCCACACTAGATGGTAAGGCCCCGGGGTTCGCCTTGACTACAGGGCTGATGAAGTCTTGCAGGTGAGCTGCGGGACCCGGGCTCTCCCCACTGAGGAGCAAGAGACACTGTTTTGCATTCACTCTCCCAGGTTCCTCCCTCCTTCCTCGCCTCTCACCACACAATATGAAAATATCCCTAGACCAAGAATTGCCTGTTTATTATGCTGTCTCACAGATACATATCCCATTATATGGGGATGGATGAAAAGAGAAACCTGCACGGGTCTATTTTTAGCAGATGGCTTGAATGCTATAAATTTTAGGGTGCTTTGCGTCCCTCCCCCTCCTCCGCCCCTTCAAGCCTGTCAGCTGTAAAATGGGTCTCTCTTTAACCCCTAATGGATCTAGAAGATGAAAGGTGAACTCCTGAATTAGTGGCGCTGACAGCCCAGCCAAGCCCCGCAGCAGGGGGTCTCTTTTGTCCCGGCCACTCTGACCTCCCTCGCCCTGTCTGTCGGTGGGAACCGGACCAGAAGAATGCAGGGCGGAGTTAGAAAGCACCAGTGGCCGCCCTGCACCGGGCCACCCGCCGGCCCAGCCCGCGGGAGAGTTGACATTCTTCAGCGGCGGATGTTCTGACATCATCCAACACCTCCAACCCCTCCAGCCCTGCACGCTTTGCAAATGAGGACAATGGGGCTGGTGGCAAAGCCACCCCTAGCAGAGAATGGGGGTGCTTGCCTATGTGTATCCGAGAAGTCAGTGTTAAAGCTTGCCTTGGGAAGGCTGAGCTGAGCCGGCCGGAAAGGAAAATTCTCTGTATACCAGGGCGTGTACCTCACAGTTTGACATGCCTGCTGTCCAGCTGGGGCCTCCATTTGGTCCACAGACTCATCTGATTTGTAATAAGATTTTCTTACATGAGACTATGAAACTCTATTAATGAAAGACCCACCCAGCTTTAGAGGGCGCTGACACAGCTAGGCAGCACAGCCCTTCCTTCCAGGGCAGGCTCTGCAAGGTGTGAGCAGGCGGAGAGAGTCCCTGGGCTCGCCCTGTATCAGCCCTCGGGGAAGTGCAGCCAGGCAGCCTGGGCGGAGGAACCCGGGGGCAGCACCTGTCCGCAGACTTCAGGAAGGAGGGGCGGCCACACGGCACGTCTTTGCTTGGGGAAGCTTCCGCTTCCAGGAACACATATTTGGACATCAGCTAGTAATCCATGTGTTTGTATGCGTGCATTTGGGAGAGTAATTTTTTTAAAAGCCATTTGCCTGGGCAGAGCCGTGAGAACCTCCGAATTAATTAACGCAGCTCTGCGTGTTCGACAACAACATGCTCTTCCCCTGCAAACACAAAAACTATACTGTGCTTTATTTTAAAAGATGAGAAGCCTGGCTGGCCCAGGGCTCCTGAGCAGGGTAATCAGGCCTGGAGCCGGCCTGGGAGAGAATGAGTGATTAGTATTCAACTCTCCCCTGGAACAGCCAGGCCCCAGCCCCTCGCAGAGAGTCGCTGCACTTCAAGGGCCGGTCTGCTCTGCGAGGAACGTTTTTTGTGTTGCTAATATACAGCACAATGCCAGCCTGCTTTCGGGTACAATTTGGACAGAAATTGAGTTACAAAAAAAGTAAGGTGTTTTCTTCCAAAGGTGTGCAGAGGAGTATCGAGATCAGACGGATCTCCAATCCACACTTTTATTTTGTATACGAAAAGAAAGGAAGACTAACTTATTTTAACTAAAAACATTATTCTGATTTATACCGAGCTCTCTTCCTAATACCCTTCTTCTACAGTGACAATATTTAAGGTTTTGCTCAGTCACTTCTAACTTGTCACAAAGGGAGAAAGGCAATTACCTACCGTATTTTCTAGAAAATCATCTTTAAAACTTCAGCGTTTGGGGGAACTTAAAATGTAAAACATGGGATGTATTCTTCTGTAACAGAACTCAGTTTTGGAAGGTTTTACAAACAGGTTGTTTACACGTCTCCTTTTTAAAAAAAAAATCAGTTAATCCACATTGTTTTTTTCTAACGCCAGAGGTAATTTCTCAGACCAACCTCTAAGAAGATGGAAACAATGAACCACAAACTGTTTCCAACCCACATTAAGTTGGAACTGGCAAAGCTTTTTGCAGGTTTTGGGTTAGGTGTTTTTGTAAAGAGGACCCGTCAG